TGGCTTTACCAAGACCCTTCACTCTCATCAATGGGCCGGGCAAAGCTTCAGCTTTGCCTGCCTCCTCCTCCCCCTCTTTCTTCCTGGGTGCCCACTTGGGGCTGCCCTGCCGTTACTGGAGGGCTCCTACGGGGCAGCTGAGGAAGAAAGAGGGAGCGGGGCGGGGTGTTCTTGGTAAAGCCAGAACCACCGAGACAGCTCAGGGGAGAAAGTCAGAGCATCAAACGCAGGGGTTTAGGCAGAGACGGTTCACTTCCAGCCAAGCCTAGGTTACTCTCTACTGCAGCCACTGACCTAGTAAGAAGGGCACCTTTGGCTGTTTAATGTTAGTCGCCCAACCCTCTCACCAGTGAAAATCTTCTCGTTCACCTTGTAACCAGCCAGCTGGTGGGCGCAGAGGTTTCGCTCTCATCAATGGCCCCGACAAAACTGCAGATTTGCCTGCCTCCCCCTCCCCCTCTTTCTTCCTGGGCTGCCCCGTCGGAGCCTTCAAGCAACCGCAGGGCAGCCCCAAGTGGGCGGAGGGGCCGGGATCGACCCGGCCTATGCAGGTGAGGAAGGGAGGAGACGGGGTCGCCTGCCAGGGAGGGGACTTCAGCCGGAGGCAGAGACGGCGGGGGTTGGAGGTGCTGCTGCCGACGCAAAGAGGAAGATGCAGCTGCCGTCTTCCAAGCAACCCTGGGTCAGAGGAGGATTTGCAACCGAGCTGGAACGCCAGCCAAGCCCCCATGGCTGCTTCTGCGATGGGCTGGCCACCCGCCCAGCCTGGAGACAGGAGGAGGAAGTAGGTCCCTATGCCCCGCTGACACTCCAGGGCTGCCACCTCGTTGGCGTACTCCAGGTATCATCAACCCCCGGTCTGCAGCCCGGTGCCGCTCTGTGGGTGTGCCGGAACTGGGCCACGGACACGGATCACCACCCACCCCCTGTCCTTCGTGCCTGAAGGACCTTGAGCTGATGGGCGGAGCACCTGAGCCAGGCCTTCTGGGAAAATGGCTTCCGTGTCCTCTTCGTCGAGTACGCCACCAAGGTGGCAGCCCTGGAGTGTAAGCAGGGCATGGAGCTGGAGGGAGAACGGATCCGGATTTTCTTAGATGATTTTTCTGTGATTCCTTAGAGTGGTCACGATGTCTCTTAGGTGGCGCGGTACTGTGGGCCTTGGTACCATGGGTCATGGTACTGAGAGATCTCTCAGCCATATGCTTGTATTTAAGATGAGGTGCATCTTTTTATTTGGAGTGATGGACAGAACGAGCCTGCTGGAAGTGTCTAGACGTCTCCGATACTGCAGAGCGTTTAGTCTTTTTTGCCTTCGGTACCATGAAGTTCGGGTGAGACTGGCATCGTTTACAATCGGTATCACTGAATTCATGATCGGCTGTAGAAGAGCCCTCTTCCGACAAGCTAGCACCTGATGATGGAGACCCCAAAGATGACAAATTTGGGGCATCGATACCATAGAGGAGCCGCGGATCATAGAGTTTCTCCATTTGTTTTTGCCATTGTATGTAATTTTTTTTGGAGATCTTGAGGGACGGCCAGTCTTCCTTTAGGCCACGTTTCTTATTGCCTTTGGGGCAAGAATGTCGAGCCCCTTCAGAGGAGACCTTCGGTCTTGATCATTTCGAAGACCAGGAATCTCCTAACGCTGGCTCAGGGTGTTTTGTTTTACTTTTCTTTTTCCTAGGAGGTGACGGGTCCGGTAAAGGAGAAGCCGGTTCATGAACCAACGGTGCACGTGAAGGAGATCCGGGGCTGCCAGGCGCTGAAGAATAGGAGATTGAGGGGTGAGAGGAGGCGGAGAGGGGTGGTCTGAGCGTTGGGGGGGAGAGCTCCCTTGGAGGTTCAACATGTCATGGCGATTGTAGAGACTTTGGCAAAGGTGGAGATGATGGCTTTTTTGATTTGGACGAAGCTTTTGGAGCGGGCTTGGAGGTTTGGGAGGACTTGACTTTAGAAGGCTTAGATTTGGGCGCTGAAGAAGGCAGCTCAGGGGTGGCTGAGGGAGACCCTGTTTCCATTTCAGGTGGTTGTAAAGACTTCTCCCAAAACGCTGTGCGCAAGCAGAGCTTGTGAAGCTTCAACCCCTGCTTGGTAAATTTTTCGCAATGGTGACAAGATTGAGGGATATGAGATTTCCCTAAGCAAAAAAGACAAAAACGATGTCCATCTGTAAAGGGGATCTTCTTCCCACAAGAGGCACAGGTTTTGAAAGTCACTTTAGGTGCCATATAAAAAAGGACGGGAAACTGTGGGGATAGGGGGAGGGAGGGAAGTCCAAATGAAATAACCCCTCTTTCTTCTTCTTCTTTTTTTTAAAAAAAAAACAACTGGGGAGAAATATTTAGACGAGAAGTCTGAAGAATCAGAAGGGAAATTTGATTTCTATCACGGGGCTCTAGACAGGAGACCTGCTGCAGCAGCGGAAGAAATGGAACTGAGGTAACTGTTAGGGCAAGCGGACCATGAGGGCTTGAGGGGTGGGGCTAAAATGGTTACTTTAAGCTCTAGAATATTCTGAGGCCCCTACAGAAGCACAGATTTAACCCATTAGTGTGTATTCACAGAGGCCACAAAGAAGAACATACTGTTGCTGATGCTGTTGTTTATAGACTTCATTTACTACACTGGTTGGAGGATTATGAGGGATGTAGTCAGAAATGTAACTTCTCCAGCCTCTGGGCTTCGGGTCTGCAGACACATATTATCTGACTAACGTTGACACTGACCGTGAAGATGCGGACAGGTTATTACTGCTCATGGACTTGAATACAGTACTCCAGAGCTCTGAATTTCATTACGGGTAGGAAGCCTTTAATAAAACCCATTAACTGAAAGTGTACATTTTGATACGTACAACCCATTGAAAAGGTATACAGTGATGCCTCGTACAACGAGTGCACCGTTGAACGATGAATCCGCATTGCGATGCGGATTTCCCCATCGCTAATGCGAGGGCATGCTCGCATTATGATGGGGGAACAGCTGTTGAGCGGTTCCAAAATGGCCGCCGGAACATAAAAAATGGGTGCCGGTACACCCAAGATGGCCACCGGGACTCTCAAAATGGCCACCGGTACAATCAAGATGGCCACCAGAACACAAAAAATGGCCACCGGTACACCCAAGATGGCCGCCGGAACACAAAAAATGGCCACCGGTACACCCAAGATGGCTGCCGGAACAAGGGAAAACATCGGAGAACGGTGAGTTTTGGGCCCATTTGAAATGCATTAAACTTTGTTTAACGAGTTCCAATGGGTTTTTTGGATCCGTTTTACGATGTTTTCCCATAGCGAAGGTTAATCCGGAACGGATTAACCTCGCTATGCGGGGCACCACTGTATATTGTTAGAATCATGCAGGATGCAATGGCAAGGCACTTGTAGAAGCGCTAGAAGGATGGCTACTGGGTATTAGCAGTTGTGAAAGGTGAGACTGCCAGAGATCTTTCATAGACAGCAACGATAAACTAACGGTCTACGGACCAACGCTGGCTCTATATGGCTTGGAAACCGGGATGAGCACTTCTCCCTAGAGTCAAACACGGCTGGACAAAAATTATCAAGGGGAACCTTACTATTTTTGCTGAGCCTGTTTTGAGATTAGGGATCAGCACTTCGGATGGCTCCTGTAAAGTTCAGAGTAAATGCCGGAATGGATTCACAGTCACCAGTAACAATACCCCTCTTCAGAATCATTGATGCTGAATCCCTTAGTCATCCTACTCTCTTCATGGATGGAGCTGTGTCTGCTGTAGACTCACTCTGCTCTTTACTTCCTATTGTCCTCCGGAGTAGTGGGGGAAAATTTTAATTGTGTGCCTTAGAATTAAGATTGCACTGCCACTCCCGTTTGCTTCTATACATAAAACAGGGCTGCAGTGGGGAGTGGAGCATCTTTACTGCATACTGAAAAATGTCTTGGGCTGGCCCGCCGGTGTCCTATGCTTCGCTCTCTTTTCAAAACCCCAGGCCCTCACAGCAGATTCTGCAATAAAGGGTTTCCAAGGCCTTTAGCCATGCAATAATATCATCATGTCATCAAAATGAACAGGCAATTTTTTTAAAAAAAAAAAGAGTGAAGATCACTCCATGCCATTTTATCCTATTTTAAATAGACTTTAGGCCCAGGGGTTTTGACATTTTGGGGACAAAGGTGTGTTTTTTTCCCTTCCAAATTTAGGTTTCATCAGGACCAGCCATAATGCAGGGGGTCGTCTGTCGCTGGCCAGTCGGTTGCAACAGATGCCCTGGCCTTGATACATGCGAACAAGGGAGGGGGGAGAGTTCTCGATGAAATTTGGTTTCTATTTTTGGGAATCATTTCAGTCTGTAAATAAAGGTTCCCTTGCTAATCCCAAATGAAAAGAAGGATTGCCTCAGATGCACCGGGGTAAAGGTTGCGATTTCAGCAGACAGAGGAGTTGTCTGCTGCTGGCAGAGAAATCCTTCCAACCACGCTCCCCGTGTCTGAGCTCGGCTACATAAATTGACACCCGTCAGGCCACGGATCAGAAACCACACAAGAGTGTACTGCTTCACTCGCAGCCTGGTCGGGACCTCAAAGAACCCACCACCTTCACGCCAAGGTAGAGTCTCACCTTTTGCAGAGATGGAAAGTTACTTCTCCGCGGTCCGCAAGATGGAGCAAACGGTGATGTTCCCCAGCCTTCTGCAAGGCGTCTCCTTCGAAGAGCGAGAAGGTGGGTTTGGAGCGGACGCCGACGACACCAAAGACTTGTATGAGTATTACACCCAAATGAAGTCCATCAAGCAGATGGTGGAAGGGAGCCTCATCTCTCTGGATGGACGACAGCCGAGCTTATCCACCCGAGGGAAAGAGAGCAAGGCCGAGGAAGACGCCGATCTCGAAGGACTCTTTTATTACCACATATCTGCCTTAAAAGGCGTTCTCCATCAGCTCACCAGAAGAGCAAACACGGTAACCTCCAGATACAACGAAATCATGCAACAGATCAACCAAAATGACCTTTCATTCAGGTGGTGACAGGCAAACTCTGAATGAGACAGGTAAGTTAACTATCAAAGTAATCTCTTACTAGAAAAAATGTTGTTTATTCCTCTTTATTTCCTTTGGGGACGGGCAAAATCTGGCTTTCCAATAGTTCTTGATTTGTCGTTCCCAACAGCCCCATCTTCCACAGTCAGTGGTGAGGAATGCTGGGAATGGTTCTCAGTCTAAGGACATCTAGAGAACCTCAAATTACCCCTTCCCTGTTTTTCATCATCCTTATTTTCTAACCTCTTTGTCTGGGTGGAACCATTTTCAGAAAGAGAAGCAGCTCATGGAATCCTTCCCATTCTGATATTGCAGAAGTAGGACATGTGTGGCCACAATGGTTGAACTATACTTCCCATGATCCTTCACCACCGGCTATGTTGCGCTATGGCTGATGGAGACTGGAGCTTTGGAACAGCTGGAGGGCCCTATGTCCTCTACCCCAGTGGTCCCCAGCCTTGGGCCTCCAGATGTTTTATATCCTCTACCCTATGATAGAACTGGGGGCTTGCATGGGGCAGGGACCTAAGAAGGTTGGCCTTGAAAACCTGTCCAACTCGGACTTTAACTGGATGTCTGTGGGCACGCCCATTTTTTCTGCAAAATCTACCTTGCAGGGGTGTTGTGGGGATGAAAGGGGATACCCACAAGGTTGCTGTGATACAGGTGTAATACGTAGTCCAGCCGATACCCGCAAGGTTGCTGTCCTTAATTCTGCAGATGAAACATGTGATACAGGTGTAATACGTAGTCCAGCCAAGGCAGATATTCCCAGATAGATCAGTAGCATAGAATCATAAAAAAAGTGAAGTTGGAAGGGTCCTACGAGGCCATCCAGTCCAACCCCCTGCTCAAGGCAGGAATCCAAATCAAAGCATATCTGCCAGGGAATGATCCAGGTTTTTCTTGAATGCCTCCAGGGTTGGAGCACTCACCAACTCCCGAGGCCACTGGTTCCACTGTCATACTGCTCTAACAGTTAGGAAGTTTTTTCCTGATACTCAATCAAAATCTGGCTTCCTTTAACTTGAGCCCATTGTTGCATATCCCGCACCCTGGGAGGATCGAGAACATGAATTGGTGACAACCAGAACTACAGCTCACGAATGCTGCGGGCCCCATCCTGCACCCTGGGAAGATTGAGAACATGAATTGGTGACAACCAGAACTACAGCTCACGAATGCTGCGGGCCCCAACAATAAAGCAGAGAACTTCAGTTGGGAACACATTACGGATTCTGATAGCACCTCGCCTTTGTTAAAGGCAAGCTGCAAAAAAAAAAAATGTTATACCAATGGGGTCTGTGGCCATTCTATTCTGTGACAGGCTCTTCCATTGTGGGGCTCTGTAGCCTTGACCAAACCTCGCTCGGCAAAAAAAATACGTTATGCCAGTGGGGGCCATTCTGTTCCCTGACAGGCTCTTCTGTTGTGGGGCTCTGTAGCCTTGACCAAACCTCGCTCCAAGAAGACCCTTGCTTTCTGGGACTTTCTAATGAGCCTGATTGGGGCATTCTGGAAATATCTAAGAAATTCATTCATTTAATCAAAATGTTTGTCCCCTGTCTTACCCGTCAAAGCGTCTTACAGCATGCAAAGAAACAGCATTACAATCTCAAAAACAGGAAATTATTACAATTTTTTAAAAAAACAATGAAACACATCTTGGATTAAAACTAGTGAATAAGAACAGTTTAGAACAGTTCTCAAAACATATTAAAAATAACAAAAAGAGAAGTATCTTTGCCGAGCCTCGTGTATGAATAAATGCTTTGATGATACATGACTCATAAAGGACCACGTAGACAATTTATGTTTTCCCACTATCTTTCACTCACAGGCCAGTTGGATGAATGTCTGGCCCTGGGGCCTTGTTGATCCCCGTCCTGCGGTTCCGGTTTGAGGGAAAAACCAGTTTGACCAGCCAACGCAGAGATGTCAAACCACCGTCATCTGATCCCTCCTGTATCACAGGAATGTGTCTGCCTTTTCCAATGACTCTGTTTTATTTCTTGTTCTCTTTTATTATTTATACCTGCTGCACCTGAACCCTGAGACACACTATGCTTTTGAGTGTTTGAAATCACTAATAATTTAAGGGGTGAGGAAGACTTTTGTATCTCTAATTGTATTTTTTATCTGCGGGGATGACCCCAGAAGACAAATAAAGTTACTTATTTTTTTTATTAAAGAAGTTGCTTTCATGGCTTTATGATACATACCGTAATATTTATATGATGTTGTTGATGATTGCATACTTGCATGTGGCTGTTTTTATGAACATCCTCCCATCTTTTGCAAGACATAATATTTTGCCCTTTTAAAATTAATATCTGGTCTTTGCCACCCCAGCGATAGAGTGCTGTGGCTTTTGCAATGGGATAGAGACTAACAGCAGCTACAACAAAATGTTACAGTACCTTTCACATCCCTATGGGAAAAAAACGCCTTAATCAGAAGTTTTCAGGGGTTTTACAATAGACGTTTTCTCGCTTCCCCTCCCGTTCAGTTACTTTGCCCCACTCTTATTGAAGTCTCAAGCACAGCAAGCATCCTCTGAGCTCACAAATAACTAGGGGAGGTTTGGATGTTCTTTTTCTTTTTTCAGTCCTATATAAATCTGCATGTGTGTGGTGTGGATACAGGTGTGGATACAGCTGACAGTAGAAATACAGTAACCTTTCACTTTAGAGTGGCCTGATTTGGCTCCACAATTTATTAGGCCTTCAATAATCCAGTTTGTTTGATCATGCAGAACACAGTGGAAATCATAAAACAAACGATAAAAACGTACAAGTATGCATCCAAGTTCTCAAAGCAGTAAGGCGTTTCATGGGTATTGCATCTACCTGGGCTTGGCTTTCTGAGTCTGGAAGCTCACCCAGGTACATCAGGTGTTTATTTAGAGAGATTAACAAATATAAAAAGTTGAACGTTCTCAGAGAGGCACAGGATTAAATGCTCAAACTGATATAACAAATTTCACTCCTTCCATGTGAGCCCTTTAAGGAGGCAGCCCGCTAATAGAGGGGGTCACAGAACATAATTCAGTTCATGGTCTGTCTTGTGGTTAGTTCTGGACTGGGACCCACGAGACCCAGGTTCAAATCCCACCTAGTCGTGAAATGCCTTCAGGCATGACATTCACCTTGACCCCATCATGTTTTCTAGGCTAACCTTACAGGGCTGTTGTAAGGTGGTGTATGCTGTGTCAGTTCATTGCAGGAAAGATGGGAAATACATGTGACGCAATACACAAATAATTGTAAGCCTGCCTCCAAAACTGCCAGATCAGCTTTTGTGGAAGGAAGGAAACCAGGAACCATTTCTAGACCTCGAAAAAGGTTGTTTTTAGGGACTAAAATCCCCCCCAGAGCAAGTATGGGCACTGGATTCTGGGATTTGGAGTCCAAAAATACATATTTTCAGGATGTGATAGATATGCACACACGATAGATAGATAGATAGATAGATAGATAGATAGATAGAAGATAGAGAGTGTGTATTTTAATAAATGTAGATTGTTGTACATGAACAATATATATATAGTATATAGTCTGCAGCAGCATCTCTTCCCATTTCGGAAACTATTTGTGAAAATGACACCACCGATCAGCCGTCTCCCATTGCTTCTTCTGTTTGCTAGCAAGAAAGAATACATTTTTCTGACCTACCTTTAGTCCCAAAGTCCCGTAGCAAGCATGATGTAACATGCTGGAACTGCAGAATTTGGCGGAGGGGGGTAGTTTAAAGAAAAAGGGAAGAATTTTCCAAGCTCAGAACTTCAGGGCACAGTGACGCCCTATTTTTATTATTAAGCGATGCCTACAAGCCTTCAAGCTAAGGATCACCTTGGCCAAACTGACACACACACAAAATAAAAATAAAAAACAGGTGGGATTTGCATCCACTCCTGTTGCTGTACATGATGCAAACCTTAGTACAATTTTAAAAGGGTGCCCAATCTGCACCTTTGGAAAATTGCAGCAGGTCCCCAGCATGGCACGGGGGGGGGGAGGGGAACCAAGGTAGTCAAGAAGGCCTCCCAGAATGGGCCTGGATGCAACATTGTTCTTGCCAGGGAGCAGCTCCAGTAGCTCAATTTTTGCAATATGCCAGGCGGGGGAGGACTCCCGGCTGCTGCCCAGAACGAGGAGCTGGCAGTAGCTGTAAAGACTCCCAGTGCTAACTGGTCAAGGCAATGTTCCAATTTAACACAAGGAATTGCATCACGCTGGGATACTCGTTCCAAGCGGGATGGTGCCTGTTTGCAGCTAGCCTGCAGTAAATATCTTTGCTGCAGAATTATTGCCAACATAGAATCATAGAATCTTTCCTCCCAGGGCTTGGTTTCCAGACCCCTGATCGTCCCGATTGCCCTCCTCTGAACTTGTTCCATTTTGTTTGGCATCCTTCTTAAAGTGGACTGGACACAAGGCTCAAGGTGAGAGCTAACCAGTGCTGAATAGAGGAGGACTAGCACCTTGCGGGATTTGGAAACTATACTTCTATTTGTTGTTTACTCATTCAGTCGTTTCCGACTCTTCGTGGCTCCATGGACCAGAGCATGCCAGGCCCTCCTCTCTTCCGCTGCCTCCTGGAGTTGGGTCAAATTCATGGGGGTAGGTTCAGTGGCCCTGTCCATCCATCTCGTCCTCTGTCGGCCCCTTCTCCTCTTGCCCTCACACTTTCCCAACAATCAGGGTCTTTTCCAGGGAGTCTTCTCTTCTCATGAGATAGCCAAAGTATTGGAGCCTCAGCTTCAGGATCTGTCCTTCCAGTGAGCACTCACGGTTGATTTCCTTCAGAATGGGTACGTTTGTTCTCCTTACAGTCCAGGGGACTCTCAAGAGTCTCCTCCAGCACCACAATTCAAAAGCATCAATTCTTTGGCGGTCCCTGAAAAAGCCCCTGATGTTGGGAGAGTGTGAAGGCGGGAGGAGAAGGAGACAACAGAGGATAAGATGGTTGGACAGTGTAATCGAAGCGACCAACATGAATTTGACCCAACTCCAGGTGGCAGTGGAAGACAGGAGGGCCTGGCGTGCTCTGGTCCATTGGGTCACAAAGAATCATGACTTAACAACAACAAAAGACCAACAGAGGAGAGACATCATGACCTGTCCTTCCTTATTTTCATTCCCCACCCTGGTCCCTTTTTTTGTATCTTGTCTCTTAGCCTTGAACACATAATTTTAAACTATAAACAACCTTGAGTGCTTGTGGTAGGAAAATCAGGGGCAACAGAAGGGTTGCTCAAGAGCTTGCAAGAGCTGAGCAGGGCTGTTGAAGACCAGACCTTTTGGAGATCCCTCATTCATAGGTTTACCGGGAGTCAGAGGTGACTTGACCGCAGGTAACCACCACGATAACTATAAAGGTCATTAACTCCTTTCTGAGCCAATCCGTTGTGGCCGACCTTCCTACCAAAAGCACTCAAGGTTGTTTATAGTTTAAAATGAGGGTTCAAGGCTAAGAGGCCCAATGCAAAAAAAAAAAAAAAAAAAAAAAAAAGGGAAACAGGGGGGGGGGGAGAAAAAAAAAATTAAATTACTGTATGTAATCTCCCTACCCAACAAAGTTACACATTGACCAAACGGTAAGGTCCCTGCAGGAGAACAGTCCTGGATGAGGGAGGGAGCAGTTGATCTTGCCAGAAAGGAGGGTTTACTGAACCTTCAGCCAAAATTAGCTTTTTGCACAGTCCCCATTGTGGATGCTCACATGGGAGAATTTCTTCAACACCACTGCAGATCTTTTGTGTGGCAAGTATGTGGCGAAGGTGGGCAGGAAACTCCATGCACAAGCTGGCACAGTCCCCATTGTGGATGCTCACATGGGAGAATTTCTTCAACACCACTGCAGATCTTTTGTGTGGCAAGTATGTGGCGAAGGTGGGCAGGAAACTCCATGCACAAGCTGGTACCCTGTTTCCCCCAAATAAGACCTAACCTGAAAATAAGCCCTAATATGATTTTTCAGGATGCTCGTAATATAAGCCCTACCTCAAAAATAAGACCCCATGAAGTGAAAGCCCACCCTCCACCCTTGTGCAGCCACCAGAAGAAGATGACATGACTGGATTCGAATAAATGTAGATTGTTGTACGTGGAAAAAGATAAAACATCCCTTGAAAAGAAGCCCTATTTTTGGGAAAACACGGTACAGTATGTGGATATAAACAATAGGAAATCTCCACCGTGGGCAGCAATTCAAGGAAGCCCCTGTTTAGTGTCGCGTTTTTTGGAGCAAAAAATAATATAACACCCTGCCTTATTTTCGGGAAAACATGGTACAGTATGTTGATATAAACAATAGGAAATCTCCACCGTGGGCAGCAATTCAAGGAAGCCCCTGTTTAGTGTCTTGTGGCGTCTCAGAATGTGGCAGCTTGCATTGCACCCTCATATGATGCCTTTTAGAGGTTTTTGACTTGCAGTCAATATCAGTCAACTAAATAGCAGCCGATTGCTTCCCTCTCTACCTCAGATTCTTTTCCCCACCTTTTTTTAAAGTCAGGGTTCAGTTAGTGTTCTCTCAGAGTGTATGAGTTATGGAATCAGAAGTGAAGTGTTCTGTCAGCTGGAGTGTTCTGTCAATGAGTTATGTAACCAGTCAGTTGGTTAATAGTGAAGCAAATCAAGCAGTTAAGTTCAGTAATATAGCAAGTTAACATTTCCACAAAATAGGTTTGTTTTTATATAAGAAGAAGTGTGAGTAAACGGAAACATTTGTTCTTTTTAATTACTAGTCTGAGTGAATGTATCAAAACAAATAAATACTAGTTGAGGTTAACTAATGAATAAAGGGTAGTATACTAAGGGAAACAGCCATTCAATCTGCTCTGCAGGTTCTGGACTGAACCATTTTTTAATGCTGCATAATCAGAAGG